AGGGAGGATGGAGGACTTAAGCAGTGTATCTCTACCATGATAAGGCAATACAGAGAGAGACAGATATCAGAGCTGGAAGGTACCTTGTAACACATAGTTATCTTCCTTCCTTTCCAGCAGAAAAACCCAGGCTCAGAGAAGGTGACTATTCATCACACCGGTGATCAGCTGCAAGACTAGAAGCCTTGTATCTTTCCATATTAGAAATGAGATTAACTTCCTGCTCCTGGAACAAGTTAACAGAACTCTCACTCCACCCTAAACTAAATACAGGACTGCGGAGAGCAGGGATGCTCCCAGTTTTTATTAGGGCCATCTTATATGTGCCTACACGTTGTCTCTCCTGATTGCCCCCATCCCAGCCCTGTCCTACCAGTGATGCCAGGTGTCTCACCTTGCCCTGTGCTCCTTCTCTGCACTGTCTTCTGAGGATACCTTCTTGTTTGCCACCTGTAGTGTTAGGCTGAAAGGGCATCAGAAATTGAAACCAAGATCAGAGAAGGGAAGACCTACAAGCCATCCTTAATGTTTATGGTGGTAAATTGTATAAGTGGCTCCCACTCTTTGCCATGTAATTTGCAGTACTCCCACATCCTAATTTGGACTTGGCTATGAGACTTTGGTCAATGGAAAGTTAGTAAATGTGATGGAAACAGATACAACAATTGATAGTACAACAGAGCATGTCTCTGGCTCTTGCTATCACTACAAGAACATGCCTAAGCTAGTCCACCAGAAGATGAGAGACAGGCAGAGCAAGCCAAATTGGCCCAGTCACCCCTGCCACATTCACCTCAGATTAACCAATAGCTTTCTGTTTTTCAAATATGTGAACCAGCCAACCAGAATGAACAGAGCTTTCCAGGCGATTCAGAGGCATGTGAAAAGCCAACGTTTCCTGTGTGTGCCATTGAGATTTTGTGGTTGTTATGTGGCATTACCATGGAATAGATAGCCGATATACTGTCTATTAACTCATGTACATTATTTGGTTTAATCACAGACACACGAGCCTGGAATATCACTCCTTCCAATGGTATGTGTGTATATAGGTACACATTTACATACACATATACACACAAACGTGCATGAACACACACAACATTTTTTTGTGAAAAGCCATGTACCTTAAATATGTGCAAGATACTGTGCTATTTTTGTTCCATTCTATTTTGTTCTGATCTTTCATTTTTTGCTTTCCCTAAGTTGGGCTTATTAATTATTAAATTAATTTCATAACCCACTGGAGGGCAAGACCTGCAGTTTGGAAATCACAGTATGCTGTGGCAGAAAACTTTATGCCAGTAGGTGAAACTCATTTGCCATTGAGCTCTTAGTTCTAAGTAATGGATACCAATAGGTACTCAATAAATGCTTATTGATTTCAGGAGAATTTGAGAGAAGTTTACCACTACAAGCCTCCTGGGTTTGCTTTCCTAACTCACACCTTCAGATTTGATCTTATCTTCCAAGACTTCCTACAACTGTGACTATATCCTTCAGGGAGCATTTTATGGCTGCTTACACTCAGTGACAGACTTGCCCTCAGAAGCAAGGTTGTCCTGAGTCTGCCAAGACTGTCCATGTGAGACTGAAGGAGGGAGGACAGGTGACTGCCGTGACTGGAATGCAGTCTGCTATGCAGTAGGTGATCAAAAACAGAATGCCTGCTGAACTGAAATGATTTCACACTTTTGGCTTTTAGTTTATCTCCAAGGAAAGGAAATTCAGCCTGATTCTTTCCAGCTTTGAAAATCTAAGTGTCACCAGTCAAATCTGACAAAGTGCATATGGGAACAGTATGGTTTGGATAGGATCTGCATGCCAAAGGTTCATGTACTAGAATCATGGTCAGCAGTGTGGCAGTGTTAGACAGTGGAACCTTTAAGAGGTGGGGCCCAATGGAAAGTAAGTAGGCCATTAAGGATCCCTTTCACAGATGGACCATTGATGCTTACAAGAGTAGGGTTGGGGCTCCTGTGATTAGATTAGTTTCAGAGGGAGTGCATCATTATAAAGCAAAGTCACTGTTCATCAAGTGATCTCCTTTGCATGACAACTTCTCCTCTCTTTTTTAATTTATTATTTTTATTTATTTTATGTGTGTGAGTGTATTGCCTGCATATGTGTCAGTGTACCCGTGCTGTGCAATGCCTGTGGAGGTCAGAAGAGGGCATCCAATTCCCCTGGAACTGGAGTTATGGACGGTTGTTAGCCATCATGTGTGTGCTGGGAATCGAACCTGGGTCCTCTGCAAGAGCAGCCAGTGTTCTTAACCTCTGAGCCATCTCTCTAGCCCCCTGCTCCCCTCTTTCTTTGCTGTGGTATAACACAGTCAGCTAGGTCTTCATGAGACATTCTGGTGTCTTGAGTTTTTCCAGCTACTAGGATCATGAGCCAAATAAACCTCTTTATATATTCCTCTAGGTCAGGTATTTCTCATAGCAACACGAGCAGCCCAGGACAGTGGAATACCAGTTGCTGCATGCTGTGCTTCAAATGTATCAAGAATGGTCCCCACACTTACAGATCTCTCCACTGATGATGTTAGATAGCCCACATGCCACTGCACTTCTGGTTACTTAGATACCTTGCTGAACAATGACAGTGTCTTCAAAGGACTGAGAAAGAAACTTCTAGAAGTTTCTTGGGAGCAAGACATGGGGAAGGGAGGAGTGCTATATGAAGGAGGTGGCTTAGGGTTGTAGGGACAAATTTGGGGTCCTCAAAGATGAAAAGAATCTGGAGTCTCTGGTGATAAGCCTTTATCACCTCACACATGGGCCAGTCCTGCTGCCTACTCTCCTCCATGGGCTCCTGCCTGCCATCGTCAGCAAAGACGTGAGTGGTAAGGTAAGGATGCTTTCATCTTCTACATCAAGCTAATATTCTGCTCTATGAGCAACCGTGGCTCTTGTGTGTTCTAACCCAGATCTAAAATACCTGCAGCATACTGGTTTCCCCACAGTGAATTTGAATCTGCGCTACTTTTAGGCTGTCTCTCTAGCTTTGAATTGGCATCAAATCACATCCCCCTGAAACCTGGATGCCATACCAGTCCCCACACCCTTCACATTGGGCACTTTGTATCCCATCATAGCTCTGAGATGGCAAAGAGACACCTTCAAATGTCCTACCCAACCCAGTATGGCCATAAGCAATACTGTACAATACTGCATAGGGAGGTACAGTCCCCAAACTGGTGAATTCAAATAGCAAAGGATCAAACCAGTCTGGGTTATCTCTATCTCTCATCTATGGAGAATGGTTCTGTGATCTTGGAATTGTCTCTTCAGAGCATTCCTCTAATGTTTTTGGGCATGATACCAGGATTACTGGATCCTATGTGTGGCTCATTTTAGTTTTTTGAGGATTCTCTCAAAAAGTCTCAGCTGTGCAAGATGAATTGGTTCTAGAAATCTGATGTGTGGTATAGCATAATGCCTAGAACCATACTGGACTCTGCACTTCAAAATGCATCATAGGGTGGGTCTCTGGCTGGCAATGTAGCCCGGTTGGTAGAATGCCTGTCTGGCATGAGGTCCTGGGCTGATCCTCAGCATCTTTTAAACTGAGCATGATAGCATGTGCTTGTGATCTCAGACAGGGGAGGTAGAAACAGAACCAGAAGCTCAAAGCTACCTAGGGAATTTGAGCCAGCCAGAGACAAATGAGACTCTGTCTTTAAGAGAAAAAAAAGGTGGGCCTCATGGTAAATGGTCTTAACCTATATACAGAAGGGGCACAGGACTTTCTTGATATATTATCCACACAGGTCACCATGGCAGAAAGAACAAACCCCAGTTCTTACCTCCTCTACTTTCCAACCTCACCCTCAACACAGGCCCCATTTCTGCTCCTCAGACTCTGTGGTCTTTAGTTATTTGTGCTGTTTCCTCTATGTGACCAGAATATGCTTCACATAGTCATAGGAAAACTCCTGGCCATCCCTTGAAGTCCGTCTCTAATGTCACCTCTCTTTGAAGTCTTTTTGTCTCCAAGTCTTTCTCCTCTTTAGGAGCATGTGTCTTTTGATACATGACTTCCGGCCTCCTAAAAATTGGCTAGAGTCCATCATCTACAGGTCTTGTTGAATTATTTCCCAAATACGTTTTTCTATAAATAGTCTTGACTGAAGATAGTATGTGAAATACTGTCTTTGTTAGGCTCATTTTGAACAAGAGTAGTCATGAAACCATGGATATGATATGCTTACTCTTATCCAATGTATGTAACAAAACTCCTTTGTTCCTTCTTTCCTTCCCTCCCTCTCTCTCTCTCCCTCCCTTTCTCTCTCTCTCTCTCTCTCTCTCTCTCTCTCCGAACCCAGAACTTTGTGCATGCTAGGCATTTTCTCGTCCTCTTCTCTGTACCCCCAGCCTGATAGATAAAAGGTCTCTCTCTCTCTCTCTCTCTCTCTCCTCAAGACCAAGGCTTGCTAGGCAAATGCTCTATCTCTGAGTTAAATCCCTAATTTCTTTTTAAAATGCAATCTCACCATGCTACCACCTGAAACCAACTTCGAGGAAAACTGAGTCAGGTCAAATCTTGAGATAGATTTTGTTAAATTTAATTTTTCTTCAGGCCTTAGCTAATGGCGTTTGCTCCATAAATGTTTGTGGAATTGAAACCAAAAGAAACGGATCTGACATTTGTTTATACTTATATCAGCATGGCTGTAATTTATCCCGAGATTGTATACTCATTTGGGGGAGAAAAGAATGGAGCTAGAAAAGAGCTGGGCCTTGAAACGCTGCCGATGGGTATTCTGAGGAGAGAGGAGAGAGGTAGAGAGGGCAGTGGGCTCTGTGGCACCTGGGAGGTGTGCCCCTTGCAAAGGGGTGGGCACACTGCAGATGGAGTGGGACCTGACTATGGGCCTTGGTTTCTCATCCTGTTGTCACTGAAGGTAATTGACATTCTGGTACCCAGCTCAGCCCCAGAGTTCTGTGGGAGACTGCCCTGGGCATGAGGGTGAAGTCTGCTTACCGCTTTCTTACCTTTTCTGCTCTCAGGCTCTGCTCCAAGTCTGCATGCCCATGCTGCAGCGGTGTCCTCCCATGAGTGGGCTCCTCTGTGCTAACCGAGTGGCTGCGCATCCTCTCGCGTGTGAGGCAGGCCCGCAGCATCCAGGCTGGGGGCTCCATGCTCCGCAATCTTGACTCTCTTGAAGGCTGATGCCTAGCGAGGCAAGTCTGAGCTCGAAGCATCGCAGGCTCCTCCAGGATCGCTGCTGGATTCAGGATGCTGCACAGACCCCACCCAGAGAAAAATCCCTTTAGGGAACTCTAAGGATCCCGGGACCAACACCACACAGCATGCGCAGCTCTCTGATAGCCTGAACAGCCATAGCCTTGTATATGGCGCCCAAAGGCATAAAAAGCTTTTGAGGGTGTGGGGGCAGGATCTCCACCTTACTTGACCGAAGCAGAAAACATCAAGCTGAGCCCTTCTCACTGTGGAAAGGGGAGAAGTGAGAGTTGGGGAAAGGGAGCGAGGGAGTATAAAGGGCCCAATTCCCAGGTATTCACAGTTTCAGTTCTGAACAAACAGTATAACAAAGAAGCAAGAAAATAGCAAGCCAAAATCCATGGAAGTGAAGCATTGTAATTAAATAAATTCTACAAAAAAGGAACCTGACACGTACTTCATGATAATATTTATTGTAGTACATGGTAATTAGACATAAGTGACAGGATGTTTAAGCAATAATCCTAATTACAGTTAATTTTACCACAGTGCTATAGGGGTTCCTTAGAAATCCCCAGTGGTTCTTCCAGAGAGTTTTTGCATCTTAAGGAAACAGAGGCAGTAATGGGGTTTTAGACTTCTTTTCTGAAGTCCAGAGATCCTTTTTAGTTGTATAAGACACCTGCTAGTCCCTTCCTTAAACTTCTTCAATTTAAAGATTTTCCTTGCTGGATGCAATGAAAAACATATACTGGGAAAACGTTTTCTTTTCGGTTGCCAAATAAAGCAAACTCTCTTGCCTGAGAGCAAAATTAAAGACAAGAATGGCACCGCCCATAGTGCGCTGAGCCCTCCTACATCAATTAGCAATTAAGAAAATGCCTCTTTGACATGGCCACAGACAATCTGATTGAGAAAATTCTTCAGTTGAGGCTCCTTCTTCTCAGTTGACTCCTGGTTTGTGTCAAGTTGACAGCTGAAACTACCTACGACAGATGATAATGTTTAATTGTCCCATCTATGAAGCGATCATCACAGCACCTATGACATAGGGTACAAAGCAAAGGAAGTACTATGTGTTTGTATGATATTCAGATCAGCACCAGGTGCAGAGTAGGTACTCCATGCATGTTAGCTATTGTTACAGCGTGAGTCTGAAATGTCTCAAAAGGAAGACCCGTATGTTAAAGCTTTGGTCACCAACTTTTGGTGCTAGTGGGAAATGGTGGAAACTGTGAAATGGGGCCTAGTGGGAGGAAATTTGGCCATTGGGGGAGTACTCCTAATCCTCGGCCCCACCCTCCCTCTTCTCTCTCTCCATCTCTCTCTGAATTTCTTGGTTACCATGAAATGGTCAGCTTTGCTTTATTACCTGCTCCCTGTAGTAATGTTTTTCCTCACCAGAAGTCCATGATGGAGCCAAGTGACCACAGACTGAAACTTAGACAACTGTGAGCCAAAATAAACCTTTCTTTTTTTGTTGATTAACTCAGGTATTTTTGTCATGGTGACGGGAAGCTAACACAGCTATTATTGTTTTTTAGTGTCATCATTATCACATTATTATTATCCTTAGTAGAGATAATTCCTCCTGTGCTGGAGGATGCTGGCCAAGTGCCCATGACTCTCTTGCCCACAGCCAATTAAGTGAGATAGGAAGGATGAGGATTACTGAAAAGATGAGCTGGGATGGTACAGGTCACTCCTTGGTACTTAAACTAGGACCTTTGAAAGGTTCAGGAGATCTTGGCATGGCACAAAGCAACAGACTGCAGAAGAAAGAAGAGCTCTGTGCACAATGGGGCCCTAGAAAAGAAACTTTGATGAGGTGAAGAGATGGCTCAGTGGTTAAGAGCACATGCTGCTCTTACAGAGGACCCAGGTTCTGTTTCCAGTAGCTACACTGGGTAGCCAGTAATTCCAGCTGCAGTGGCTTGGACACCTCTGGCCTCCACGGGCACCTACACTCACATACACATATCCACACACAGGCACACAGGCACACATAAAAGAAAAGAAACTGAGTCACTGGTTCTTGGATCACTAAATATCCTTTGAATCCAAAGCAACTTCCCTGTCCACTCTCATTGAAGGCCACCCTGTTCTTCCTGTTCTAAGACAAGTTCCTGTTCTAAGATTATCATAAGATTCTGTCATACCATCTGTGAATGCCTGTGTCAGCCCTTGGCTTGAGCCAACTCAAAGAGGCTTCTCTTCCTTGCAATGCAGAAAGTCAAATTAAAGGAGCTAATTTCTCTTCAGTGAAGAGTTCACATGTATTTTCCTCTTTTTGACTTTCTCTCTAATCTGTATTTCCCACAATTGCCCCAAACAATTTATAATTTTCTATAATGATTGCTTATTTCATAACCAGAAAATGACTACCCACTCTAAAACTACCCATTTTATAATTAATTACCTATTTGCAGTAGGCAAAAGATCATACAGGAAAGATCAATGAATCTTAAGTCAGACCTGTGTCCCAGGAGATTGTTTTTGTTATCCAGCCATGTGATCTCGGCTGTGTTACCTCACTCTTTGAGTCTTGAACCTTGGTGAAATGGGCTGAGACATCTACAAGCTCCATTCTGGCTCTAAACCAGTTATTTTCCTGCTTAGTAGGATCCATCATATAAATCTGTAACCAAACCTCAGAGGGTATGGTTTGCTCAGAGTCAAGACTCTCTTGTATACTGGAAGCAAATTTTGTGAATAGGAGTAGGCCTGGTGATGAGCACTGATGGACCCTTCCACTCATTCTCCATTCTTTTGCTTTGATCCATGTTCCCCATGCTAAATGCTGGGCAGTGAGGACAATACCAGGTGTGCCAATACTATTAGAACTACGGTAAATGTCATGTCAACCATATAATGACTCTGGGGGTGGGGAGGGATGGGAGGTATTTTCTGAAGGAGTTGCCTTTGGAAAGATAAGCATTTGTTTTCCAGGCATACAAGAGGGGCTCTGATTTCTAGGAAGAGACAGAGCAAGAACAACAGCAGAGTCAAGAATGAGCTGGTCCAAGGTGGAGTCATGGAGCTGCCAGGGGTCTACATGGGGGAATAATGTGCCAACCAGAGAGGAGAAAGAGACAGATCAACAAATTAGTATGAGGCAGAACTTGAAGAAAAGAGTGTGCACCATTAGCAAGTTGGATTTGACCTTTAAGAAAATGAAGAGCCACCTCAGCAAGCCATCTTAGGGAGACCATTCTCTCAGCTGCACAGAGAGTAGACAGGACAGTGAGCATTCACTGCAGCCTAGGACAGACTTCTGAGGGTCAGAACCAAGAAAGGGTAGCAAGAATGGAAGTGAGGGGTGAGCATAAGTAACTGAAGACTGGGGGTGATGAAGGATGCACCAGAGTGCTAGCTAAAGTTGATGGAGGGGCTTAGAAAAGCAATGGGCACAAGTTAAATGTATGGTTTATAACTATAAATCCCTTGGAGTCTTGTTGGATTAAAGCTGTTTTTTATTATGTGTGTATATGTGAGCCTGCTTGAATATATGTGTGTGAGCCTAGGTGAGTATATGAGTACCACATGCATGCAGTGTCTATGGAGACCGGAAGAGGGTGCTAGATTCCCTCAAGCAGGAGCTACAGGTGGTTGGGAACCACTATGTGGGTGCTGGGAACTGAACCTGGTCATTTACAAGAACAGTAAGTGTTCTTAACCACTATAAGGGTGCTATCATAGAGAGTTAACTGAGAAGGACTGGCCCTGAATGTGGTCAGCACCACCCAATAGGTAGGGAGTATGGATGAGGGAAGGGTGAAGGATGGGAGTGGAGGAGGGGGCAATGGACTTAAAGGGGAAAGTAAAAGGCCTTCTATTGTAGGCATTCTCTGTCTCTGATTCCTGGCCACCATGATGTGAGCTGCTTTGCTCCAAGGTGGGCTGAAACCTCTGAAATCATGAGCCAATCTTTCCTCTTTTGAATTCTTTCAACTACTTGGTTACAGCTACAAAAACCTAACATGGGGCTCTCACTCAGAAGGCCTGTTACATGCACAAAAGATCAAGCATCAGGTGGTGATTGAACACTTTAGAGGATGTTGTACATACAGGTTAAGCAAAATTAAGCAAAAGAAAAGGTTCTGCACTTGGGAGGCAGAGGCAAGCAGATTTCTAGGAGATCAAGGCCAACCTGCTCTACATAGTGAATTCCAGGCTGGCTGGAGCTGTAGGAGAACCTGTCAGAAAAAGAAAAAGAAAAAGAAAAAGAAAAAGAAAAAGGTTCTGAACTTGGCCAAGAACAGATATTAGAAAATAGGAAGCCAGAGGATTTAAGAACAAGTGAAATGAGCACAAAGGAAATGAGATCAAGGCCAACCTGCTCTACATAGTGAATTCCAGGCTGGCTGGAGCTATAGGAGACCCTGTCAGAAAAAGAAAAAGAAAAAGAAAAAGAAAAAGAAAAAGAAAAGGTTCTGAACTTGGCCAAGAACAGATATTGGAAAATAGGAAGCCAGAGGATTTAAGAACAAGTGAAATGAGCACAAAGGAAAAACTAAGGTGTGAGATGTCAGGGTTCAGAGTAGCATGAAGTCAGGGTGTGGGGGTCCTAGGGAAGCTTCCCTGGTTGCAGGATTTCTTCTCTTGGCTGACTCCTGCATCTCAGCATGCCAAGAGCTGCTCTTGCCTCACATCTGCAAAATGATCCCACCACCCGACAAATTCCTGGGCCTCCAAACTATCATTTTTTCCTTTCTCCTCCCACTCTACTGAAGACGGAGCCACCATCTGACCACCTGTAACCACAGTTTCGCTCTGGTTCATCCTTCCTCCCCTTTATTTACACAGACCCCAACTAATTTACTCCTTTTGGCCTTTCTTATGCTGACCCATGACTTGTGGGTTTTGGACCTCCTTTTGTTAAGCTCTTTCCACAGCCTTCTGGACTGCTAGAGCATCATGCCACCCTCTGTTTTTTTTTTTTTCTTGTAAGATGAAGTGATTAAAGCAGGTGATTTCCAAGTTGTCTTCTACAATTTCTCTACCACACTTTGAAGATTCTCTTTCACAGGTCTCTGTGCTACTTTATGCATCCTTAG